AATAGATGACGATGCTCCACGGGAACACCGTGTCTTAAGTGGAATGATCAACCCGAAAAGAACTAATCACGCTTAATGGATGAGACTGAAAATGGCGTACATCTAGCAAAAAAATGTATGTGTCAAACCGAAACTCGGTAACGAAAAAAAAATTATTTAAAGAGATGTAAATTTATTTTTAATTTTGTTAACTAAAATAATAATCACACAGTGTTTCTTAAGCAAACCAAATTTTTTTCTTATATCTTTTCATATACTAAACATATTGAAATTAAAATAATCAAAATTTTTAATTACTTTTACTTAATTAACTATTCAATAAAATTAATGGAAGGTTTCTTACAATACATCATAACTATTGTTTTATAGTTTTATTGAGTATATATATGAGTATTTTTCTTTTGGAAAATTAATACAGTGAAAGCTCTACTAAGTGAACACCAGGAGTGAACTGTCAATGCTAATCATTAAATCAAGTTCTTTATGGATTTGTCTTCAGACATGGAATTGAAACTATGAATGCAGGAAATATAAAGTTTCAACAGGTTCACCACAGGTTCCACAAATAACACAAAACTTCCTGTTCAGTCTTTGTGACACTAAAAGTTTTCATTGTGTGTAATTTAAGTCTAATGGATTTAAACTCGACACAAAGATAACGTTTTTATGTGGATTTTGTAGACTGTTCTCGAATATTCGATGTGAATTACTACCGTAAAGTTAAGCCGAGCAGTTGTCTGCTATCAGACACATAACGAGGGGGTCTTCAAAATTAAAAGAAAAAAAGTCTTATTATTAAGACTGGATTTATGTACACAATTCTTGAACTTTTGATGTGGTGAAAAAGAACAATCATAAAGTTAAGTCGAGCTGTTGTGAGGTATCAGTTGGGGGTCTTTCAAATTAAAAGAAGAACTGTATTATTATGGATTTATGTGAACAATTCTTAAACTTTCGATGTGAATCAAAATGTCAACCGTAAAGTAAAACCAAACAAAAAGAAGAACTGCATAATCCAATAATGACTGGATTTAAGTGGCTAATTCTCCAACTTTCGATGTGGTGAAAAACATCAACCGTCAAATCAAACCGAGAGTTGTCGGACATCAAACACATAACCAGAGGAATTGTCTTCCAAATTAATGGAAGGAGTGCATTTTTATTAATGAATTATGACTGTTTATTAAGTTCAAGATTATATTTTACGTTCCAGAATTTATCTTAAAGCCCTTCCTCAAATAATAATATGACTACGGACCTACCAGTCATGTGTCAAGAAGTCATTGAAAATTCCAATACTATGATACTAAATTCTGTAAGATATTCCATATAGGATTTTTTATTGACATTATATTTCACACATAATGACAAGATTCCGAACATTATATTTAATTATAATTTCAATTGAAATCCTAAAATTATGTCATGTGAATAATTTTTGGGAACACAAAATGTAAATCCAAATATACTATACTATACGGCCTATAGCCGTACTTTTACAAACAGCACAGCCTTTGACATGCCCTACGATTTGTCTGAAATTTTTTTAATATTTAGAAATAATCTCGGGTCTTTCTATTTTATTAAAGAAGCTTATAAAAAAATTTAACCTATATCGAAGATGATGAGTTCAGTAGGTTGGTGGTTTGTTAAAGAATAGTCCGTATGTATAAAATAATTATTATATTGAATTATTTATTATCTGCACAAAAGTAGAAATTTTATATTTTTTTTAATTAATTTTTTTAATAAACTTTTAGTGGAAATTTTAAATCCCAAAAAAAGAAAAATGCAGTAAAATAAAATTGAATAAAACTCAGGTGCAGAATTCACTGATAATTAATTATTTTTCATACCAAAATTTTTTTTATATTAATTTTTGACAACCAAATTTTGCATAGCCAAAAAGATACAAAAAAGTGAAATTCTTTTCTTCTTGAAAAGTTGAAAGTTTCAAGGAAAATTAATTCAAATTGAAAATTAATCAATATTTATTTAATTTGAAGGCATTGACAATGAAAGTAAAATTTATTTAAATTTTATTCGCACAAAACTGTTTAAGTAAATTAAATAAAGTTAAATTAAAATTTTTATTCAACTTTTGTCTGACTTACTATAACAATATTTTAAATGAAAAATTATTATTTCATTTTAATTTATTTAATTAATTTTCATTATTTAATCTTTATGCTTCCTCCTTTTATTCGCAGATTATCATCACAGCAATGGACCGTTTTGTTTGGTTTGTACTTTTAGTTGTCATGTCTCATTTGGTAACTGAGTTCACACGTGTCACAGGATATGGACGAGGATCTCGGAATGACATTATTATGGTAAATGATGTAAGTATCCTTTATTTAAGCTTACTGGGATTATCAGTAACTTTTATTTTAATAAACTTTTGTCGAGATTGCGGTATGTGTTGCATTTTACATAATTAATTCCATATTATTGTAACTTAATTCAGTTCAGTGAAGCCGAATCATTAATAATATTATTAATAAGTAAAATTTTAATTTTTAAATAAAATAAAGTTTTTCATTTTTCATTTGAAATGAACTTTTCATAATGTTTTAAAATGAAATAAGTCAATTTAATACTGTTTATTTATTGCAAATGAGAAAAACAATATCTCGAATATTTTTTTTTGGTAAAAATTATTTCCTATTAGCTGTTATAGGATGTGAAATTAAAACCAAACCATTTATTTTTATCATATTAAATAATATTAATAATTGTTTTACTTAAGGTTTATTTTAACAATAAAAAAGCATTTTCTTGGAAAATGTTTCAAATAAAAATTCACTTATTTAATAATATTCCAGCAATATGGTTTAATTTAAATTATTTTATATTTTTATACAGAGATAAATACAGCTGCTAATAAAAAAAATAATTAACTATAACTTTCAATTTAAATTCATATTTTTCGAATAATGATTCGCCTGTCTCCTCCTTCTGCAAAGCTAGTTCAACTTATGATGTCTCATATTAAGCGTAGTAAAAAGAAATCCATTATTTTCCCACTAGATGGCTTTAGTTATCTGTGTCCCGCGTTCTATAAGTCTGATCGTGTTACGCTAAATAGCATTACAAAGATAAGAATTCGTAGTTTTCACAGTTTTTTAATTGGTTGACTCAGTTTTGTTTGAGAGCGTGTCAAAAATTCTTCTTTGATAAAGGCATAAAGGTGAAAACGGAAACAAGGCTATTAAAAATGTGAATAATGTTTATGGTCCTATAATCCTGATACTGTAACAGGTAACCATACGCTTTCGTCGATTCCGTTCCGGTAATTTCGATGTCACAGATACACCACTGGAAGGCCAATTTTTGAAGATATCTATAAAATCATGGAAATTGTGGATTTCAACCGTTATTTAAGCACTTTTCTGATTGCCCAAGTTTGCGCAAGAAACCGTTTGAAACCATTTGAATTAGGCTGGATATAAGAAAAAGCTCGATATATGCGTGCCACATGAGTTAATGCAAAAAAAAATTAATGAACCGTAGTTTCATCTGCAAATTGCTGCTAAAAACGTTGTCGTAAGTGATCCATTTTCATCATCAGTCACCAACTGCTGATATACGAGTTCAAAAATCTTATGAACCGTATTTCCATTTGCGAATCGCTGCTGAATCGCAACAAAATCGTCACCAACCATTGTTTTCGCTTGACGTTGTCGTAAGTGATCCACTTTCATCACCAGTCACCAACCGCTGCTATACGAGTTAAAAAAGTTTGTAACATAAAATTTACACTAACTAAATTTTACTACACAAATAATACCAAACAACACAAATATAATAAAAACAAAATAAACAACAAGAAAACAAACAACAATAGAAAGAAACTTGTAAACAACGAACCGTTGAAATCACAAGAACAAAGATACTGCTTGCTTCGCACATCACAAGTATAAAAGGCGAAGCAAACGCAGTAGACGGGGATTCAGCAAGACAGCGAGCTAAGAACAGGTCGCTCTATATTACATGTGCTGAAACACCAAGAATCGAAATTTACATCTCGATTTCTATTTTGTTTTTTTATTTTTTTTTTATTTTTTAATAGAAATACACATTTCTATTAAAAATCATAATTAATAACGAAATTAACATTTCGTTAATAGTAATAGAAATATAAATTTCTATTACTCTATTGTTCATAACGAAATCAAATTTTCGTTAGTAAATTACGCGGTAAGGTGATAATACCACATGAGTATTAGCACCCATACCAAATCCATTGTATGAAGAAGAAATTCACATTTCTTCAAACCTTTTGTCAGGGGCGTCGAAATTAACATTTCTACGCCAAAATCCATTGTATAGAGAAGAAATTCCCATTTCTTCAAACCTTTTGTCAGGGGCGCTGAAATTAACATTTCTACGCCAAATCCATTGTATGAAGAAGAAATTCACATTTCTTCAAACCTTTTGTCAGGGGCGTCGAAATTAACATTTCTACGCCAAAATCCATTGTATAGAGAAGAAAGTCACATTTCTTCAAACCTTTTGTCAGGGGCGCTGAAATTAACATTTCTACGCCAAATCCATTGTATAAAGAAGAAATTCACATTTCTTCAAACCTTTTGTCAGGGGCGTCGAAATTAACATTTCTACGTCAAATCCATTGTATAGAGAAGAAATTCACATTTCTTCAAACCATATCACCGTACCAACGTCACCATCCACCGTATTCCACTGTTCCTATCAAATAAATTTATTGTAGGACTGAACCTTGAATCCGGCGAGTAAAACCCCGGCCAGGAAGGTTCGTTACAATTGGCGCCCGAGCAGGGACCGTGGGAACAGAACTGACCAACATCTTCAGTTGAGGATGGAAGACAAACCAACGGTGGTACCATCAGGAATCAAGGAAGTGACAGGACAAGCAGGCCGTAAAACAGCAGTCGCTTCGACAAGCACAAAACGACTTACATCAGGAGGCAAATCTTAGATTTACTTCGCTAAAAAGGAGGAACTGGTGAGTTACGCAGACGAATTCGGATTAGATCCAAGTGGTTCACTGGAGGAACTTCGGAAAAAACTTTCAACGTTCATGGACTCAGAGGCAGCTGAGAAAGATACCGCCAGGCTACAGGAACTCGCGAAACTACATATCAGAAGCTCATCACCGGGAGTCATTGAAAATAGACGTCCTTCGTTAACTAAGGGAGGAAGTTTAACCATGGCCGAATATCCTGTAATCATCAACCAAGTCAGAAAATGGGAATGCCACTACTCAGGGGAACACGAAATACTACCATTTATAGAACGGATCGAGGAACTGGCAGATATGTACGGAATACATCGGGACTTATTACCGAAGCTAATGCCTGAAGTTCTAAAAGACAAGGCACTGATCTGGTTCAGGAATAACAACAAGCGATGGACCGAGTGGCCATCATTCAAAGCAGATATTTTAGCATTCTTCTTGCCCCCAAGATACTTTGAACAATTAGAGGACAAAATACGAGCCCGCCTGCAACAACCTAGGGAACTGTTCAGAGATTATGTATTGGCACTGCAGAACATAATGCAATATTCAACATACAGTGAAGAGATAAAATTAGAGAGAATCTACCGGAACAGTCGTACCGAGTATCAATGGTATATCCGTAGGAAAGACTTCCAGTCATTATCCGAGCTGTTAACATTAGCTGGGGACCTGGAGGCACTGACCGCTACAGACCGTCAAGTAAGAAATACGCTGCCGGCTAAGGAGATCAAAGCAAGAATGATTGATGCATCTGAAGACAAGAT